GTGCGTCGGTGTGCACCTGGGATCCGAACCCAGGCCACCAGCAGCGGAGTGCGTGCACTTAACCGCTACACCGCGGGGCCGGCCCCTGTGAAGTTATTTTTATGTGAAATACTAAAATACTTTGCCATATACTTCTGCTACATGTCTCAATTTATTTCAAAAGGTGCATCTTACCTCTATTGTTTCCATCAACAAATCATTTTCACTCCTAACCATAAAGCCAAGGTTCAAACAAGGGGAATTTTATACCAGTCTCACTGAAGGCTGCTAATGTGTTTAATTATAAAAAAGATACGTCATTTCTTACCATAAAACTTTTATGTAGAATATTAAATAAAATACATTAAGAGCCACAGACAGCCCTCACCCCTTCAGAAAAAAATAACTAAATGCCTGCAATATTAACAGATTTATTTTTAACTAAATGATATTTATAGAATTTAAAATGCAAAGTAACATTAGGTATAACACGCTTTCCCTGAGACCAAATCTAAAGGGACTCCTTTTTGTGCATGTCATTTTGAATTGCAGAAAATTATTTGTATAATGAAACTTATTTTTAACATTAAGAACTTAGTGTTATAATGATGAAATATAAATAGTTTTTACTTTTAATATTTGATTTCAAGATGCCTACTGCATTCTTCAAGTATGGTTTTTATTTCTTTTTGGGTCTCATATATTTTCCCATGGAAACAACGTTAACTGTATTATTAAAAGTCAATGGGAAAATAATTTCAATTTATATACAACTGCTTTATGTCAACCTTATAAGAACATAGTTTATTTAAATTAACATGAGGATAAACATTTTTGGTTTTGGTTTTTATTTTTGGCTAAAGACCAAAAGCAGCAGCATAAGAAGGTATGCTTTCTTTTTTTGCTTTATAATTTATTTATTTTTTCCCCCCCCAAGCCCCAGTAGATAGTTGTATGTCATAGCTGCACATCCTTCTAGTTGCTGTACGTGGGACGCGGCCTCAGCATGGCCAGAGAAGCAGTGCGTCAGTGCGCGCCCGGGATCCGAACCCGGGCCGCCAGCAGCAGAGGGCACACACCCAACTGCTAAGCCACGGAGCTGGCCCAGAAGGTATGCTTTCTTAGAGGTGGAAGGATCTGCGTGTGCTTTACATTTCTGAGAGAAATGCACAGACAAGAGAACTAACCCAAGTCTGGAGTCTGGAGGTGCAGCTATTTAAACGAATAAATAAGTCTGCAGGCCTGGCTTATGACTGTTGTTCTTTCCCAACAGTGCCCTTTGAAGCTACACTGCAGTAAATGGAATTGGAGAAATGCGTTCCTCTGCCTAACTAGAAACTAATACTGCGTGATGCAACCCATCTTTTTAATTTTTATTAAAAGAAAGTGAAAATTAAAAAAAAAAAAGTTTACCACAGCAACTTTGGTTTCATAATCATTGGAAATCTGGACACAAACTTCCTCAGCTCTTGCCTGACAAGCTCGTTCCACCACATCCTTCCACTGCTTCTGTACTATGGAGCGCCAGCCTTTCCAGACTTTCTTCAGTAGAGTTCTCTGGAAGTACTGGTCAGCTAGTTTACCTTCATAAACCTAAAGAAAGTCATATACAACCTCAGAAATTCAGTGAGCTGGTAAATATGCTGGTTGTAATTACAATAAACATGTCACTGTGGTAAACAGTGTACATACGTTATCATTTAATCCTGTGTAATCATATTATTGTCATCTGCAGACAGGAGAACAGGCATAGAGAGGTAAGGAACGTGCCTAGGTGACACAAATAGGAAGGGAAAAGCCAGCCTTGCCTCACTCCAGAGTCTAAGCCCTTATCCATTACATCATTGCATTATGCAACTAATCAAGTTAGGGGAAAAAACAAAAAACCAAATGAAAGAAAATGAATAACTTGCCACTTGCCACCTTAGTTATGAATTTGCATGATCTTTTAGCTGAAAGCAGGACCAGGAGAGCAACAGAGAGCGGCTGGAAGGCAGAAACAGTGGGGGCTGTGGCTTCAGATGGCACTGCTTTCTCTTTGGCTTGGTAGCCCCCACCATAGGCAAGATTAATTTAATTTACATACTTTGCCATCATACATAGTGCCAAACTGACCCAAATAGGAACATATGCTATTCTTCTTTTATCAATGAATTTAAATTCTTTCGAAAAAGTCATTCCAACTTTCAAATCTGAAGAGCTATTCAAAAAGTGATGGCAGCCTCAACTATTTCAGCTAACATTTAAACATAACATACTCTCATTATGTCACTTGATAACATTCAAAACATGATCTAAATACTCATTTTAAATAGCTCTTTTCAATATGATCAATGTAGATTCAATCTATTGGGATTAATTAAAAAAAATGAAAGCACTAGGAAGTATTCTTAAAGGAGAAACCCTATTCCATGATAGTAATAGCCTTTTCCTTTAATATTAATCTTTTGGAACTAAATGCACAGAGATCACTCCATGGCTTACATGAGCATCGCATGAAAAAAAAAATGTATATATCCATCCCCTACACTCTCGAGTCTCTATACTCTGTCTTTGTGTGGGATATGTACATACTATCATACTTTTCCCCTTTGGTTACAATAATTTATTATTCTCTCTCGGTTTATATTTACTCTGATATACTGATTCAGCTCTTATTTAATTAAAATAAAAGATGTTCAAGTTTAAATTAAATACAGACTAAGGATAATTTTTTAAAAGCTATACAGGCAGCTTTCTTTGATTCTCATTCTAAGGCAAGTCTAGGCAACAAACATTTATACACTTTTATAGTGTATAAAAGTACCGCCTATGAAGAGGCTGTATCAGGTATTTTATTTATTTGTTTATTTATTTTTTTGTGATGAAGATCAGCCCTGAGCTAACATCCATGCCAATCCTCCCCTTTTTGCTGAGGAAGACCAGCTCTGAGCTAACATCTATTGCCAATCCTCCTCTCAGGTATTTTAGAAGTAGAAACAATACAGGAAGTATATCATATGTTAAAGATTATACATTCTTTCTCCACATAATCACATCTGATGTGAAATTTGTTAAAGGGGTTCCATTACCAGGGCATTTGTAATTTAGGTACAATCCTTATTAACCTACTATGAAGTAGGAAATGATATATCAATAGGTCTATAAAATATAAGAGGTATTTTTTCCCAAACTATACCAAAATCAAATTCCTTTGAAATAAGAGCAACGTTACATCATAAATTCATTTTGACTTATTAGAAAACAAATCTTTCTTTGACTTGAACAAGAGTTCTAACATGTGACCCTCAACCCTCTCAGTTCAGAAGTCTAGTATCTGTCAGTCCTCTTTTTGTTTTCACACTTACGTCCTGTCGGGATTTGACGTGGCCAATTCGCCAGTGGAAGAATGTTCTCATCAACTCTATCCTTTCCTTTTGCTTGCCTAAGGCATGAGACAAGCTAGAAATCACCTGTAAACAGCAATTAACCCAATTATTGTGATGTTACAATAACAGCAATTGGTAAAGGGATTTCCGCATATACCAAAAAATGCTCGAGAGAATACCTATGGATCACTACTACATTCATCCAGTCAACCTCATTAGTCTTATGTTTAAAAAGACCAAAAAACTCCCCCACATGAATACACTACATATCAATGAACAAAGGGGAACAAAAGAGGAAAAAAATCCTCATGGTGTGCATCTTGGTAATTACCAAAAAAAGTTTATGTATGTGAAAATTAATATGGTCACTGACGTTTAATTCAAGACAAACAACTATACATTTGAAAGTTCTGCCACATATACAAAAAGTCTTTATTCACTAGATTTGAGGGCAGGGACCAGGTTTTAAATATCTTTCTCTTCCCTAAATACCTTGGAATAGAAGTTTCTCAATAACTGTTTAATGATTTTTTGAAGTTTCTCAGTAACTGTTTAATGATTTTTTGGATTCAACAAACTCATAAAAGAAAACAATAGTTATACTTTGATGTACTTTCAGTGATGTTATTCTTGTTCTTTTTTTAAAAAAAATCTATAGAGGCTTTTAAATCCTAAGACAATATTCTCTCTCATAAAGAATAAGTGAAATATATGTCTAAAAATGGCCACATTCAAAAGAGAGTTAGTATATTGGACATATTTACTGAGACATTTAGTCTGGCTCTTCTTTGAATAATTTTCAAAAGTGGAAAAGGACACATATTCTAAGACATTGGTAATATTCTAGTTCTTAAGCTGTGTGGTGGCACACGGCTGTTCAGTTTATTCATTTTCAAAAACTGGACATATTTGTACACTTTTTGTGACACTTTGAAATAAAAAAATTAAATTTAAAGCAGTTAAAAATCTTAGGACAGTTTTGAGGGTAATAAGAGAAAATGACTGACATTAGTATCTATTGTTTCAAAAAAGTAAACTATGTAAAATGTTCAATTTTATATTCCACCTTGCAATACCAAAAGAAATGTGTTTGTGTGTGCGTGTATATATACATACACACACACATATATATATATACATATATATATATATACACACACACACATATATTTTTTCTTTTCAGTGAGGAAGATTGGCCCTGAGCTAACACCTGTTGCCAATCTTCCTCTTTTTGCTTGAGGAAGATGGTCCCTGAGCTAATATCTGTGCCAGTCCTCCTCTATTTTATATGTGGGTCGCCACCACAGCATGGTTTGATGAGTGGTCTAAGTTCGCGCCTTGGATCCGAACCTGTGAACCCGGGTCACTGAAGCGGAGTGTGCCGAACTTTACCCACTACACCACCAGGACAGCCCCAGAAATGTATATTTTTAAAAAAACATAATCTTTATCTAGTTCATTAAAGTGGTGAGTGCTGCATCTGCAGACGAGGAGCTGAGGCGTCTGCTGCAAGTACCTCTTCTCTGAAAGCCACCATCCTCCTGGGGGAGCCACAGATTGGATGCCCATCTGCTTTTGTTCAAGGCGCTGTCTGGAGGGACAAATTAGCACAGACCTGAACCTCACTCCCAAGTTCTTAACAGGCTAACAGAAAGTGAAATAAAAGGTGCTCTCTGTGTTTATCAATAAAATGAAGAAAGACTTTGTCAATGGAGAAAGACACATCACAGACAGAATGTGAGATACTTGAAATGATCCCTAAAAGGATAGTTTAAAATGTGGGTAATGCTTGCTCCCTGATGTTCTCTTAAAGGCAGTTAGGAAGAAAAACAATTAGGAAGAAAACACTAGTGTTCCTACACTTAGCATGCACTCTTAAAACGTCAACAACACGGAAGTTGACAGCAAAGACAAAACGACACGACCCTGGCCTGTGTTATAGGAAGAATATTCTTATCTCTATGCACCTATTTTTCCACCACTTTCTGAAGTGATCTTCCCCTTACACCTTGTATGACCTGAACAATCATTAGTTCCTGGCATTTATCACCTAGCAAGACATTTACTGAATTTCAGTTAAAAAGAATATAAAAAAGAAGACCTCGTCTTTCCTCCCAATGGAGACTTCATAGGCTTTCTGCAGCTCCTTCAAGCTGTCGATTTGGTTGCACAGTTGTTTTATATGTGCTGCATGTTTTTCTTTCTCTTTTTTCATTTCCATTCGGTGCCAGTCAATAAAATTAAGTCTCCATTTACTTAGTTCAGATATGACGTTTGTCTGAAAGATAAATATACTGACAATTAAGTAGTTTGCTCCTTAATACTGCTTCTCAAAATTACACTGAAATTTAAGAAATATTCAAAAAAACCCAGAAGAAGCAATCAACCTAAGAGCTATTTAACAAATCAGAACACAGTAATGAGAAGGTTTGCAGGCTCAACAGTCACAGCTCTTCTTCGTCCACACTCACCACACTATGGACAGGGATGGTTTCCCATTTTAAGTTACTTTGTATGTAATGTTGTTGTCATTAAAAAAATTTCATGTCTTATTTACTAATAACAGGTCCTTTGTTTTTTCAAAGACATAAACGTCCATCTTAAGATGGATCAGGGAAAAAGGAAATGCAGGACTAAGGCCTCAGCTGTGCCACAGGACCGTGGACTAAGTTACTTAGACAGAGATGGATAGTGGAGACCACCGGAGTTGATGCTTTCTTCCCCTAAATCATTCTCACAATGGCCCCCTTACATCCAATTGCTAAGTCTGATCCCTCTTCACCCTACTGACTGGCATAAATAATAAGACCAAATAATCATGTTATCAAAAAACTGGATAACAACATGGTTAAACTTAAATGGCTGGTGGGACATTACTCCAACGAACTTACACCATGATTAGAATATGAAACGTGGTCATGGGGAAAAAATGGTAGAAACTATACTAAAAGATTATTTCTAGAATTTAATGTTTCAAATAACAGAGAAATATAAACGCCACAGAATTCTCATGACCATAATTTCTCCATGTATTTGAATATTTAGCTTAGTTTTCTCAAACTATGTTTCAGAAAAACTGCCATTTTCTCCATTATTTTTTTAGATAGCAAAAAGCTTGCCAGTTCTGTAATTCTTTGTTTTACTTAGAGGCCACTAACATCACCAAAATAAAAATCAATTTTTATAAATTTATCAGTTATACATGTGGTTGCTGTAAGAGTGGCTATAAAATGAATATACGTTGCTAAAACTGGATCTTGGGTTTCATGTAAAAGGAGACATTTCTATTTGTCATGGCTATGACGTGGTCAAGGTTCAATAGCTGTCTCAGTCACAGAGAGGCCAAGCCTTTCAAAACATCTGAGAAATTCAATGGAACACGCAGAGCTGTTCCAGCAACTATTTAAAATCTGGCTATTCAAAGTATGGTTTCCGAACCAGGAGCATCACCTGGGAGCTTGTCAGCAATGCCTCATCTTGGGCTCTGCCCAACACGACTGAATAAGAAGCTGCAGTTTTAACAGGATCCCCAGGTGATTTGTATGGACATTAAAGAAGGAGCACAGATTTAAGATGCTGGACTGATCTTCTAGGGAAACTAAAGATTTTTTTTTAAAAAGCTTTTAATTAAAAGAAAAGAAGAATAAACAGTGGAATCAAGAGCAAAACTGTTACACTACACATTAAACAACTGTAACTGAACAACTCTAATACCTTAAGATCTGAACTCCAAAGATCAAGTACATTTTCCATCTTCTGGAGATTTTCATCAGAAACAAGATAATCGCTCACAACTATTTCATGGACATCTGCAGGACTAGAATTAGACCCTGGTGAGGAAGAGTCACCTAAAAGATTAGTACTGAAAAAATCCATGACTGGGTGAGAAGGCTTCCTTGGTGATGACACCGGTGACGACCCTACAATAAAAGAAAGTTGTAGTGGTCAAGCCAAATTGAAAAGAACCCAAATCAGTAAGGAGTTATACTGGAAGGCTAGAAGATGTTAGTTACCCAAGGAGGCTGAGAAAAATGCAGAGAAATGACCTTTTCGTGTACTTAATCTGGCTATTTTTCATTCAGTATTGACACTGATTTAGGACTGACCAGCATGAGATGCCTCCCATACCTCCCTCCCCCCACATATGACCTCTATCCCAAATAAGGTTGCTTCATGTATCCAGGTCCAGCCTGAGCTGAAAGTGTTATCATCCACCTCATCATATCAACATTTACTAAGTGCTTTCTATGCGCCTGTAACAAAAACATTATAAGGATTAGCTCTTACAATATATGCTACCCTAAGAAACAGCTATTATCATCTCCATTTTAATGTTAAGGAAACTGAGGTTCAGAAAGGGTTAAGTAATTGACCAAGGTCAGAGTGGTTGTATAGAGGCCATTATTACTTTATGTAAAACACTGGGATGGGTTTTAACACTACTAAAATTCAATACTCTAAGTAGAATGAGATTAGTAACTTAGTTTATCAGATACTGAGCTGTAAGGCACCCTGTTAGCTTTGAACATATTGGTGAGAAATATATATATGTATGTACATATATATCCTCTGTCCATATGCCTGGGGGATGCAGGGGTGAGTGGGTAAAGGGACGGGTGAGAGCCAGAGCCAGAAAGAGAACTGGTATCTATCTTTAAAAAGCACAAAATAGAAGAGTTACTATTTTATGACACATGTATGCTGGAACAGAGACTATTCATCATCATTTCTCACATATCTCCCTTTTTTAAGAGTGTCCTAATAACCAAGATTGAACGGCTTTCCTCTCTTCCTCACTGAATGAATCAAAGATAAATCTACTATAGAACTTGTTGCTTAAAAGTAGATCTTTTTTTTTGTGTGTGTGAGGAAGATCGGCCCTGAGCTAACATCTGCCAATCCTCCTCTTTTTTGCTGAGGAAGACTGGCCCTGGGCTAACATCTATGCCCATCTTCCTCTACTTTATATGGGATGCCTCCACAGCATGGCTTCCCAAGCGGTGCATTGGTGCGCGCCCAGGATCCGAACCAGCGAACCCCGGGCCGCCGCAGCAGAGCACGCACACTTAACCGCTTGTGCTGCCGGGCCGGCCCCTAAAAGTAGATCTTTTAAGAATTCTTTGCAAAAGGGAAAACCATTCCTAAATATATATGTTTTGCATAAAAAATATATCAACAAATGGTTCAGGCTATGAAACACTACTTACATGTTCTGACAATGGTTAAGGAACCCAAAGAATAAGGCAGAATGACAAGTACATGAATATTATTCTCTCTTACTAGATTTTACCAACTAGATCTGCACTCATGGGAAAAGCAATAGGCTTTCTATATATTTTTAAAAAACATATACTCACCTTAAAAAAATAGAATCATGTCACACTGAAGAACTTGGAAGGCCCTTCAGAAATTACACTGCCCAAGACTTTCATTTACAAGGGAGGAAAACTAAAGGAGAGAGGCATTTCTTATATGGTGGCTGAAATGGCCCCTACATTAAATGAAGGGAATCACATAGTAAGAAAAGTGCTCCAACTATGTCCACGAGGAAGTTTCAATCTGAGGCTGGTATGTTTTTAAAAACTCTATAACACTTGCTAACCTCTCCTTTCAACAAAGGAAAAGCAGAACACAACACCACCAACAGTATTCAGCCAAAATTTAATAACTTCATTTATATATATATATGTATACTTTTTTATACATATAACTTCATATTTTATATATACAAAATATAAAAATACTTCATTTATTTTTACTTCACTTATTTTTACCATTGCTTTCCATTTATAACAAGTATATATTAATTTTATGCTATAATCAGTAATGACAGATATAAATTTTCCTTGATAGAACAAGTAATATTAAAGATAGGACAAAAACCATTAAGTTGGTACACAAATGCCTTAAAATTGGGAAATAATGCATTATTTTATGAAAAAATTTAAATTGGCCAAACTATCTGACATCCCATTAAATCTTTTAAGATATTTTCTCTCCAACCTAGCAGTTTTAAGAAAGGATGCCACACACTATAATACATTAATCTGTATTAGTCTTAATTGTACTCTTTTGGAATCTTACGAAATTATTTGACATATTCTTACTTAATAAATTAGCAACAATAGCTAATAGCTAAATACTGCCAATAAGTAATATGCTGAAATTATTCCTCTTACTACATAGACAATGTTCATCAGACTGCAAAATGTTGTGCTCGGGCATTTAGTTTTGAAGATAATCCCAGCATACAACCATGGGCACAAGTGCAGAGGGACAGTTCCACTAAGAGACATGCAGTTGCTACAGTGTTGTCTTCAATTTACGACTTTTCATAATAGTCAAAGAAAGTTCAAATAAAAATCCAGCTGTCATATAAGAGCCAAGAATAACATTAAAATGTAAAAAGTTCCCCCAGATGATGGTGATACACACCATTGACTGAGAAGAATCACCAGAGAAGTATTTTCACAATCATAAGTCAATAACATTAATAAGCTCAATAACATTTTAAATTAAGAGGTATTTTGAATAAAAACAAGCTAAGGAAAAGTCATACCATCTGTCTTTGAATGACTTGAAATATTTAAGTCACACCCTTTTCCAACTTCCATCCTTGTTTCTCTTACTACAGGGCTATTTCCTGCTGAAAAGAAAGAAGTTTTTTTGAATTAAATCACTCTTAAATGTCCAATCATATATACCTAATTTAAGAAGGTAGCAGTACATAAGTAAGATTTTAGAACAAGCAAAATACAACATGCTGGGGATATAGGAACACTAAGACAAAGAACAAGAAGCAAGAAAAAAAATTGAGACTAGAAAAGGGCTTATTGTATCATTAGTAAGCTCAATTTCACCCACCAAATACGGATGAAAGAGAATTCAGTCCACTATAGCATTCAGTTCACACTAAGCGAATCAGTGGATGAACGACATCAGAACTTAGACAAGGCTACGCTATCTCACACCACTGGGTATTTGCAGGGGCCTGCTGCTTTCCACCAGCTGCAATCAAACTAGAGTGACACTGGCTCCCCCAAAACAGGGACTTCCTTACTTCCACCTCAGGAACATTTCACATGGTGAAAAGGAAACTAGGAAACCTCACAAGAATGGCTGTCAGAGGCTTATATATGCTTTGCCAACTTCAACACACCTTCCTTACCTAAGCAACGGCAACACTGAGAATAAAGAGAATGCAATGATAAATTTACACGGTCCATTCTAACCAAGCCTACATGTGAATCAGGATATCTAAATTCACTGCATATGGTATGCTTAGATCTCAATCCTTTTGGGAAAAGGCAGAGCATAAACAAATAAATACTATCTTCCATGCTAGAAAAGAGTAGGGTCTTGGATCCCAAGTCGTTACCTTGAAAGGCTGGAGAGGTGGGGTAGGGAAAGGACTCTGGTGTGGTGTCTCTGGCACAACAGTACAGCAGTACTGTAGCCAAGGGCAAAGGAAACAAGCTTTCAGCGACCACCTTAAGGGTAGGGTGTAGAGGGCTACCAGCTGACGGCCTATCTACATTTGTAAGAGGGCAGGCAGCACTCCTCGGGCTTGCTCAGTAGGAACTGCACGGTGAGGTGCTTGGGGGTAATCAGAACATGGTGAAGATCACTGATATAGAATGAATAAATCCAACGGTCACATCTGGAAGAGCAATAAAATTTGGGTAGAAAATGCTCAGTGATAGAATGTTTCAGTGGTAGAATAAATATATATATTTTAAGGTTCTGGTCATATTTGTTGATCCAGTGTAGTAGGCCAAAGATTGAGGAGCAATGAAAACTCCATGTCTACACAGACACTAGGACTGTGACTCACCAGAAACCCAGGAGCCTGCGGACTCTGAGTAGGATGTGTCATGTGCCTTCAAGAAGGGACCTTTGGAGTTATAACTTATATCAAGTTGATACCTGCCTGTTTTAGGAGGGCTTTCTGTGCCCTTTGAAAGAACACTTACTTAGAGAGAGCTGTCTGAGATCTTGTACTTTACTGAATAAGAACAGATAAGTAAAAGGAGCTTTATCCTCCTTTCTCCACCTTTCACTCATCTATCAACATACATCTTGGTTTGTATTCGTTCTCAATTCTGTCACTGACATGGTCCAAAGATGGGTTCACCTTTGTGGTGATAATCCCTATAGTCCTCCATGCCCATATAAATACCGCTGCCAAAGTCCTAGCACATGGTTCCTAAACTTAAGGAGTTCTAAGGGCTACCCATGGACCATCTTTAATTTGGGGGCTTGGGCATTTCATTTCCAAAATAATCCTGGTATACAAACACTGGAACAAGTACAAAGATATAACTCCATTGAGACATGCAGTTGCTATAGGACTGCTCTAACTTTATCACTTTTCATAAAAGTAATAGTCAAACCAAGTTCAAATAAAAATCCAGCTGTCATATAAGAGCCAAGAATAACATATTAAAATGTAAACAGTTCCCCCAGACGATAGTGATACACACCATTGACTGGGAAGAATCACTGGAGAAGATTTTTACAATCATAAGTCAATAGCATTAATAAGCTCAATAACATCTTAAATTCAGAGATATCTTGGAAAATATACATAACCTTGATTATCGAGAATATCATCAATTATAGTAGGAATTCTAACATCTGGCACCACTTCTCCCTTAGAATGAGATGGCTGTGAAGCACTTGATTCAACATTTGGAGTCACTATAGCATAACGAAGCAGTTCTTCATACTCCTCCTATGAGAAGCCAATAATAAACACGTATTACATCACTGTCACAATGAATGCTCAGGCGTAAGACCAATAAAGGCAGAGCCAAAGTTGTTCTCTACTTCAGTTCTCCCAACAGTGTTCCCAGGTGGTGGGGATGTAGACTTTTGATTTATGTTTTCCATTCATCATCATTTACTTACTCTATTGTGGTAAGTAAAATTCTTAAAAAAAAAAAAAAATCCAACAAATATACCTACCCAATGTCTTTTAGGGATAGTGCCTTGGTACCCAGATTCCTTCAGCATATGAATTTAATGATGGTGACACAAAGATCACCTAGAGTAGTTCCCTGTAGCCAACCAACACCTACAATACAGAAGAGCCCTCCCTCAACTGGCAGCCGCCTGCAGATGGGCAGAGACACAGTGAGCCCTTTCTCTGCTTTTCTGAAATTTGCTTCTGAGATGCTGCTCCCAAAGACTCCACAACAGGAAGGTCTAGGGATGAACAGTAGTTTGGGCTCTAGCTGCCCCCACCCCCACACAACCCCACAACTCTGAGACTCTTCTCATGTATAAGCATGAAAGAGTATAATAGAATTACTGGGAGAGAAAGAACACTGAAGATAAACAGAGAACACGAATGCCAAGGTAGAATGCCAAGTAGAATGTTCCATTCTACCTGCTGGCAGCATCCTGGCCACGTGGAAGGAATGATAAGAAAGGCAGGAAACAAAGTGCAGACCTTACAAGTGCATTCCTCAAGTTAACAAAAAAATGGAATTTCCTGTAATAGATACTTAGATATTTGTTTAGCCAAATCAAAAAAACAGTATCAGTGAAGTAAAAAATACACTGGAACCTAGTCTCCATTCACAAGGGGTTGGTCACTGATGCAGCAAATATTCCGGTTAAGGAGGAGTAATTTCTAACAGTCTTATGGCATGGACACAGAGACTGTCTTTGCATTAAAAAACTGTGGGAAGGTATTCAAGAATGTGAAATGTCATTCTTCTAAAGGACTATTTTATATTAACTTTTCTCCATAAAAAGTTTAGTTCAGATACAGAAAATTTCACTATCATCATTTCATTGTCATAACTGTCATTATTCTGATTCATCTTCAGTATGAAGATAACTCATACTCAAAATTATCTCCTTCAAGGGTCACAATAAATACCTGTTGAATTGAATTAACAGCAATTCTGTCTAGGTCAAAGAAAGAACCGTGCCTTGAATAAGACCATTAGGATACAGTATAGGTGTTTGAAAAGTAGTAATTTTACTTTTCCCTAGGGTTTTCTATGAGTAAGAATATTTAACCATCCACCACACCCAAGTTTCCAGCCATGACCATGTCACAGTTACCTGAAATAAGGGTCTTGGTGTTTTCCAAAGGAATAGATGCAATTGCACTCAAAGTTCTGAAGTCAGAACTACCTTGTACACTGTGTAAGTAGTCAATATCAATGTATTTCAAAGTAGTTTCCAAGAAAGTGTTTCAGAGAACCCACATTTTATCCAGATTTCGTTTTTTAAGCTATCTCTTTTAAAAAACTGTAATAAAATGAGCATGCACTATCAAATGTACCATATATACTAAATTTTAACAGGCCAGAAACTATAAATTCTTTTGTTGGTTGGAACAAAGGGGCTCCTGCTATCAATGTACATGTTAAATTCTTGTAAATGTGTCATAGATTGGAAGGCTGTAGCTCTGCACAAGTTTATTTTTTGTTTTAAATTCACACCTGTACACATCTGCCCATGTAAACCGTACAAGTGAGCACACAACTATAACACAAGTGGGCCACCAACTACAAACCCCTCAAACTCATGCACATCTGCTGGGGCCAGGCCCTCCTTAGGATGCAAGAGTGATGAGCTGTGCAGTAGCGGCTGACTTCATGCTATGTCACACGCTCATCACAGTACAAAAGGCTTTAGCATTTATTCTAAGTTTGAGTTTTTTGAGAGCATCCTGTGTGATTTTACACTTATGATAAAAATTTTGAAGACCTGATTGATTCTGTTGGTGGCTCAACACTAAATCAAAAATTTTCTATTCTTTTTTATGCTTCGGATCACTTTAATTGAAGATGAGATATGCTAGTAAAAGGCTACCATTTTGGGGCCAGCCCCCGTGGCCTAGGGGTTAAGTTTGGCGTGCTCCGCTTTGGAGGCCTGGGTTTGGTTCCTGGGCGTGGACCTATACCACTCACCCGGCAGTGATCATGCTGTGGCGGCAATCCACGTACAAAATAGAGGAAGATTGGCAACAGATGTTAGCTCAGGGCAACTCTTTCTCAGGAAAAAAAAAAAAAAGCTACCATTTTCAACTACTTATGTTGAGAATAAGAATTTTCTTCATATTATGCAACCCAAACAAAATACAGAAGCAAACTGGACACCTAGGCTTATAAACCTGCACTTGCCTGCCATCATACCGCCATTGCACATGCACGTTTATCAAGGCGGCTTCAAGGTTTTTGCTGACTTTGTGATAAGTAAATGTCACAAATTTGAATTTATGAAATAAATTTACACAACTGTAGTTCTGCTTTAATATTTTTATATTGGAATTTGAAGTAAAATTGTTTGAAAAAAGGGTTTATGCTGGTAGATGTTTGAAAACTGCTCATCGAGCATAACTAAATGTAAAAGAGTCACTTGGATTCAGTTTCAACCCTGATTTACATATTTAACATAGATGACTTACATGCTGTAAATGTTAGTTATAGCAAATACAGACTTTTACGTATGTTAAGGCCAACGACAGAAGAGAAACACAAAGAGATATTCCAAAGAGGGAACCCTTAGCTAGCTCACTCATGAGACTCCCCCTCATATCGCTCTAGTCAACTCTTGTCAGTGATGACCCCTTCAGGACAATAAACATGTCTGAGTTTTGAACTTACATTTCCTGATAGAAAATAAAAGTTAGTATTTCACATAATGGTTATCACTGAGGCAGAAGGCTCTTATTAGGAAAAAAATCATTTAGAATATCAGATATGTAACATTTAATTTTTGTGTTGACAAAAATAATTATAATTCTTCTTTAAATTTTAAAAATACACTTCCTGAACCATATCAATTTTCCAGTTATTACAACAAAAGGAAATTCCCTAAGAGTCTGATAAATTGAGGCCATACACAAGATATTTCACTGGTTCCCATAAACCTGAATGTATGAGTCAGTCTTAATAAGCTAACTAGCAAAATATATAAAATTTCAAGTGCAATAACTCCCTATGGTAGAGACAGCTAAGAGTTCAGCAGCATCCATTTCCCCTTTATTCCTTTAAGTTAATAAAACTCCAGGGTTTGACCTGGGCAAATGGCCGCCCAGCGACATTTCTCAGCCTCCCTTGCAGCAGGTGTGGCCAAGAGACCTGGTCTATGGGATTTGAATGGAAATGATGAGTACAACTTCAGTCATTAAAAAGGAAGCTGCTTGCCTCCTGTTCAGCTCTTCCCATGGGCTAGAGGTGGTAGTAAGCCAGCACCTGACGATGCAAACATGGGCAGCACCCTAGGGCAGGGCAGAGCAACAGAGAAGAGACTCAGTCCTCAGATGACCACAAGACTATGTACCAGCTCAAAACCACTCTTATTTGGTTCCTGTTAAAGCAGCCAGAACACCACCCTATTATACTTCCCAAGCAGCCAAAGTAAACTTGTGATTTTGGCACAGAACATATAACAGTCTGGCTATGGACTGAATGTTTGTGTTGCCCAAAAATTCATATGTTGAAGCCCTAACCCCCAGTGCGGCTGTATTTGGAGATGGGGCCTCTAAGGAATTAATTAAATAATAAGGTTAAATGGGTCAAGAGGATTAGTGTCCTTATACGAAGAGACAAGAGAGCTCTCTTTCTCCCTGCGCACACGCACCAAGGAAAGGCCATGAGAAGGTGGCCATCTGCAAGACAGCAAGAGTCCTCACCAGAAACCAACCCTGTCAGACCTTGGTCTGGTACTTCTGGCATCTAGAACTGTGAGAAAACAAATTTCTGTTGCTTAAGCCCCCCTCTATGGTATTTTGTTAGGACAGCAGAAGATTAATATAGTGGCTATCTTTTTTTTTTTTTTTTTTTGGGAGGAGATCATCCCTGTGCTAACATCCGCCAATCCTCCTCTTTTTGTGCTGAGGAAGACTGGCCCTGGGCTAAGATCCGTGCCCATCTTCCTCCACTTTATATGGGACGCCGCCACAGCATGGCTTGCCAAGCAGTGCATCGGTGCGCGCCTGGGATCAGAACCGGTGAACCCTGGGCTGCCACAGCGGAGCGCGTGCACCTAACTGCTTGTGCCACCAGGCCGGCCCCTACACAGTGGCTATCTTTTATTTGTATTTTGAGGTCAATCAACTTTTTAGCAACATTTTCCTCCTTAGCATTTCCTCTGGTGGCAATTACAACTATATTTAGCCAAATCAGCTCTGCTCACTTAGTACCACAGGAACAAACTGTCCCTGTAGGAATGAAGGGGAAGTGGCTTCAACTGTAGCTTCCCTAGTCTGACCTCTGAAAAGGGAAAAAGATTCGAACATATATTTCAAAGTTCCCACAACAACTACTATGAGTTAAAGGGGAGGTAACTAGGTATATATTAATAGTATCCAATGTACATATACATATTTTGAGGAAAGATTTTAAAAATCAGTTATTTAAACAACTATTTTAGTTTCACATATATAGATATAGGCCAAATGGGCTATTTTTTGGTTAATGATCAAAATAAATAATATTGTCTTATTTAATTGTCAAAGATAACCTGTCTTAAGGAACCCTAAAGTAAAAACCAAAACTTGTAATTTTGCACTCCCCCGCCAAATAGCTGGATTTATGTGACCCTAAAATACAGCTGAACCCATACATACCAGGTGAGGTCAGGACAACTGGCTAACGGTTTGGAGTTGTGCTTAGAGGAAGTTATCAGTGGACAAGCACCATGGATGCTGCCCATCCTTCAGCATTTATCATCGATAGTTTTATGGAGCATTCACATAACTAAGACAGTAAAGAAAACTCCCTTAAGAGGAATATTGATTCATGAGGGGCTTTTATATTAAATGTTTAGTTTTACATACTTACTACATATGTAAAAGCATATAGTTATTTCATGTTATTTTATTGTTAACATCACTTTTGGTATTTATATTATGAAATGTTTCCAGTAACATAATATGGGCAGGTTTTCAACTGTAGTCAAGAACTAGCAGGGTCATAAGTTGAGGGTTACTAATAAACAGAATCTCAGTTGGACTGACATTCTAAACAGGTAACCAATAACACAAAACGACTTCTGGCATGTCTAGAAGATTCTTACCCCTCCCTCTCTTAAATTCTACTTGAGAGATTTATTCTTTTGATGTAAAGCTTTGTCTCCTGACAAAGTGAAAACCTGAGGTCTTACACGGTGTTTACAACCTAGTATCAAAGGATTTTGGACCCAACAATTACACTGTGTGGGTTTTTTCCCCCACAATCAATAAGCAATTCCCAGACACTAGCTGGTTGTCCTACAATTCAACTCAGTTCTGATACTATTCACCAGAGATAGCATCAAATCCCATGGGTTAAGGGCTCAGTCCCATGAGACTGAACCCCCTTCCAACTTCAGATGCCAATTGCAAGTCCAGGTTGTCACCTGTACTGTTGGCCAACTGGCTATAAGTCAGAGGTCACCACAACCCCCTCCCCTTGGGTTCGATTATTTGCTAGAGCAGTGCACAGAACTCAGAGAAACATTTTACTCACTACATTACCAGTTTATTAGAACAGGATATAACTCAGGAACAGCCAGATGGAAGAGATGCACAGGGCAAGGTATAGAGAAAGGGCGAGGAGCTCCCATGCCCTCTCCTAGCACACCACTCACCCAGCACCTCCCATGTTCACCAGCCCCCAAGCTCTCTGAACCCTCTCCCTTTGGGTTTTTATGGAGGCTTCATTACCTAGACATGATTGATTAAATCACTGGCCATCAGTGATTGAACTCAATCTCCAGCCCCTCTCCCCTCTTCGGAGGTCAGGGGTGGGACTGAAAGCTCCAACCCTCTAATCATGTGGTTGGCTCCTCTGGCAACCAGGCCCCATCCTTAGGTCCAAAAGTCACCTCATTAACTTAACAAAAGACACCTTTATCACTCTCATCACTTAGGAAATTCTAATGGTTTTAGGAGCTCTGTGCCAGAAACAGGGATGAAGACCAAATATATATTTATTAGAAATCACAATATCACAAGTATAAATGAGTTAATCAGTTCTCTGATGAGGAAATTTGGATAAGGGAGAGATGAAGGGTGCAGGAAAGCACTGTCACCTAAAAAGATAGCACTAAGTGGGCGAGTTACCATCCAAAGAGAAGGCCAGGATGAACCATCTGTGTCACAATTCCAGACTACAGTCATGTGCTGCATAATGACGTTTCAGTCAATGATGGACTGTATGTATGCCGGTGGTCCCATAAGATTAGTACCATACAGCCTAGGTATCTAGTGGGCTATACAATCTAGGTTTGTATAAGTACACTCTATCATGTTTGGACGACGACAAAATCGCCTAACACCACATTTCTCAGAACGTATCCCTGTCATTAAGCAACGCATGACTGTACTTTTATCCTAGTAAATATTCACAGATATTTTTCCAATAGCTTCCCAATTTCTGAATCTGTAATTTCAATTAAAGGAGCACATCTGTTCCATAAAATATTTTCCTAAAGTTTTTCTCATACACAGTGCTAATAACAACTTAGGCATAAACATAACGCCCAGCTTTTTCCCTCTTAAGTGATATAACTATAAAACTCAAGATATACCAAGTCAGTATTCTCTCAATCAAAATCTACTCTAGAAATCTGAATCCATATTGTGATAATAAAAATTTAGAAATAACAGAAATTTAAAACCGTTTATGTAAAAACCACACCTTCTGTGGTCAACTTACCTGTCACTGTCCAGATCCTGGGCAGCAGAATGTGCCAAATGCTGTGGCAACAGAGACTAGAGGCTGGGGTAGAACACTAGGGCATCTGGGGCCCCAGAACTTTGGAGGGGTTGATATTGTACTCATTTGCATTAAAGTGAAAGCAGCATTCATAAGAGATAGCTACAATGAGAAAATTTCAAGAAAAAAAGTTCCTTGAGATTTTCAGCTTCTCCTTTCATTGTGTTGTTTGAAGCCTTTGTACAGAGCGTTTGAAAGGTTCACAATGGTTTTCTGAAAGGTTAAAACAACGTAAGGTATTTCCTAAGGTTTGTAAAATGATTCTCAAAGTTTGATATTATTATAATTTGATATACATTATATACACATTATAATTATTAATGTAAATGGCTTGAATGAACGAAAAATGTACTCCTAGTTCTCCCTCATATTATCACTTGTTTAAAATAAATAAGTCACAACAAATTTAGATACGTCTTCCCACCTGAAGATCTGAAGAGACAGAACTGCCTCGGTCAGAGTCATTTTGCACAACCGGAAGTGAGCATTTCTCCTCATCTGATGACATTCTGCACAAATACTATAAAAGAGTAGAAGCAACTTTAGTTTTTTTCCTCAATATTTAAAGGAAAATAAAATGTTTTCTGGATATATACAGAAGTGTAACCGCGTCCTAACCTGTAAACAACCATCATGTGATATGTTAAATCATTCAATGCATTGAGCACCCACAGATGAAATCACTGGGCAAGAAGAACTGGTTAGGACTCAATTCCCAACATGAGTGAGTCTGTAAGGCAGTGAAGGAGATGAGACAAATACATAGATGGTTAAAGAAAAGTGGAGGCTCCTCAGGAAAATCCACAGTGGTGCCTGTAGAGAACAGATTGTGGTCACTGATCTTCAACAGTGTGCGACAATCTGGGTGCTGGGCACCTTCCTGTAGATACTGGACCAAGAGAGAAGGAACAATTTGTGCAAATTCCCTGCCTGGGAAACTTACCATTGGGGAGTATTATTGTAAGAAAAACAAGCCTACACAGAACAACAGCTTCTAATACATGCATAGAAAAACTGCTGAAAGTTTTAACCAAAAAAATAAAATTAAAAGTACTTTTAGGGGGCTGGCCCGGTTGCGTGGTGGTTAAATTTGCGCGTTCTGCTTCGACGGCCCGGGCTTCACCGGTTCGGACCCTGGGTGCGGACCTACCCACCGCTCCTCAAGCCATGCTGAGGCAGTGTCCCACACAGAAGAGCTACAACTCTACAACTATGATACATAACTATGTACTGGGGCTTTGGGAGGAAAAAAAAAGAAAAAAAAATGTACTTTTAGTAACAAGTAAATAAATTATTTAAAAGACAAGTAGTGACCATTCAAACTAACAGAACACCAGTTACATGTAAGACATCGATGAGGACAGTAAGATGAAGAAGTCGCTGTCCTCTAGGGCTCTACAATCTGTAGAGAGGGCCAAACATGTATATAATACAAATGACTGATGAAACAAGCGCAGTTAGACCCTAAAACAACAGAGGTACAAAGTAGGGAGGTAGGAGTAGCTGTTTTTCATGGGGTGGGATCACAAGGTGTGAAGAAGTGGGAATGGAGCCAGAGAAAGTTTTAATAGAGAAGATGACCTGGGTGTTGAGGCCTGGAAGACAGATAAAGGATATAGGACTATGCTAGGCAGCAGGGCAGCACAGGCAGAGACAGAGGCATGGACATGTATGCCAGCGACATAAGTAGTGTGTCAGGCTGAAGCAAAAGGTGCAAAGCAAGGCTTGGCTAAGGAGGAAACAGGCAAATCAGGAGCAGCCAGATCATGGAAGATCATGGTTGTGTCATGTAAACAGTTTGACACCCATATAACCACCCAGGTCAAAAAATACAACATTTCCAGCCCCAGAAGGCCTTCTCATGCTGGGTCCCAGTCTCTGCCTCCGTTCTCTGACATCTAACAGTAGAAAATGTTTTGCCTGTTTTTTACCTTTATAAACAGTGTGCATTACTTCATGCCTAACTTCCTTTGCTCAACAATACGTTTGTAAAATTCATCTGTGTTGTTGCTGTGTGTAGCTGCAGTTTTGTTTGCTTGTTCTTTTGTTTTGCTGTTAGGTATTCCACTACATTAATATACTGAAATATATTTATCCAGCCTATTTTTCATGGATATTTGAATTTTTTTCAGTTCTTGGCTATTACCAATAACGCTGTTATAAATAATACTGTATGTCTCTGAGTGTTAAAAATAAAAAAAAGTTTGGTCTCATTCTAGAGAAGTTATTAAAATGTTTTAAACAAGTAATAACATGATCAGGCTTGTCTTTTAGAAGGCTCACTCTGGAAGCTTTCAAGATGGATTAGAGAAGTGAGATCCTAAAGAGAGATTAATTGAGAGCCAACTGTGGTAGTCCAGGAGATAAACGTTGCCTCCAGCAGCAATCCAGGAGATAAACGAGGACCTGAATCTAGGAGGCAGCATTGGGAAGTGGATGGAGGGTATGACTGACACAGTTGTGTTTTGGCAGTGGAAATGAGAGATCATGATCAATAATTAGTTAAGGGGTTAAAGGGAGGAATTGTTGATGACTTCCAGATTTCTGGCTTGGGTGAGTAGATGGATGATAGTGCCACTCACCATGGCAAGGAATGTAGGAAGATGAGCAGGTTGGGAGGAAGGACAATGGGTTCCATATCAGATGATTTGGGTGTTAGGTGCCCGTGAGGCACTGAGGTGAAGCTGCAGGTATGCGGTACATGGCCACATCCATTAAGCTGTGCACCACTCCAAGGACTGCCGTTCACAACAGCTACAATGTGAATGGTGCTTCCTGGGGAAAGCAATGTGAGAGCCCTGCATCGGAGCTTTCGGTTGGAGACACTGTTTGACGAATCATCAGCATAATGGGAAATGCTTAAAACGGAGAGGATAAGATCACTCATGAAAAGGAGCGTGAGAAAAATTCTTATTCTGAGGTCTGTATACCCAAACTATACGTAATATTTTTAGTATAAATGCACACGTATATTTTTCGAGGAAGAGGATCCTTAGCTTCCAATATGTGTTCAGAGGGGACCATAACCCTAATAAAGTTAAGGACCACTACCATAGTGAGAAGAGGGTATAAACCAGAACCACTAATATTTAATGGGGAAGAGAAGAGCCAGCAAAGAAGACAGAGAAGGAAGTCAGACAGTAGAACTATCAGAAAATGCAGCATCAGGAAAGCTTGGAAAAGGGAGTAGTCAGAGCCATAGGCCAAAGAAGGATGAGAATTGGATGCAGTCTCCCAAATCTGGCAACCAGGAAGTCGCTATGACATTTGCCTGAACAATTTCAGTGGAAAGTGGAACACACCTCAATCACAGTAGGCTGAAAAATAAACGAGAGATGAGGAAATTGAAGTAGAAAGGGCAGGTACAGGGAAAAGTGCGACATCAGAATAGAACCACAGGTCGGGGCTAGATTGTGGAAAGGATGCTTCAACTTTATTCAATGCTGTGAGTACACATGATAAGTAAACTAAATCTCAGCACGACTATCTTTAGTTAAGCCAATTAGGGAGAATAAAATAAGCACATACATCTGCAGCAAGGAATGGCCGCTTCACGGACTTCAAATCCACCCCTGTGGTAACTGGTCTTTGTCTATTTTCATTCACTTCTCCCTTCAGGATGTGTTTGCAGACCAGGTGGGCAATAGGAGTGGGAGTAGGGTGGTGCTGATTATTCAAAAAAACAAAAGGGCTGAAAAGTATGGTCAGATCTCAAAAGGAGTTTCTGAATATAGATACTGCAGACACCAAACAACTATGTACTTTTGGAAAACATACTATACGTCTTCCATCTGCCCTGCTTTGATGCCAACAAGTATGACAGTTTGTCTGAAACCGTACGACAGCAGCATTTTCCTGTTTCTAGTTTCAGAAAGGAAGGAGAAACACGAAGCCTGCTTTAACGGGCGGCGGACGTGCACCAGTTCACTAACTTTTCAGGACAGCATTCTCTAACCAAGAGATCAGAAGCCACGACATGAAAGTTGAGAGCGCGTCTCTGTTGCCAGGGAAATCAATCACATCTTGGCAATCGCCCGGCCGATAGGGAAAGAGGGGGAGCAAGCGCAGGAGGCAGAGGCAGAGAGAACCAAGGTGCGGGGGGAGAGGGGACGTCCTCCGCCAGCCCGCCCCACGACAGGGACCAGAAGACAGAGGAAAGCAGCTGCGAGGGAGCAAAGGGCTGGAGGTCCTCTTCGGTCCGTCCTACCCACCCCTGTTTCAACCAAGTTCTTACTTGAAAACAATGAAGCGTTAGACACGGTTATTCTCCCCTGCGTTTAAATGGCCAGAACCTACGGCGACAGTCACCGCCACACTGGAGGCACGCCCCTCCCCTCCTCCCGGGCGCCCTCGGGGGGAACCTCCCGACCCCGCGCCCCGCACAGCTGAGGGGCCCGCGTCCCGGGAAGACGCCCCAGCGCGCCCTGTACGAGCCCCGGAGCGGAAGCCGGGGCCGAGGCGCTTCAAAGCCCACTCCACCGGGGCGCCGCCACCCACCGTGCCGCGCTCCACGAGCCCGACGCGTCCCCGGGCGCCTCCTCGCCGCTCGCGCTCACACAACGGCGAGAGCAGCGGCCCCCCTAACAGCGACCTGACAGTTTCAAACCGCAGCGAGGAACTAAGGACGGCCCTGCGCATTGGCCCCGAGCTTCAGCAACCTGCCGTCTGATTGGTGCAAGGCCTGGGGGCGGGGCCCTGGACCGGCGGAGAGAAGCCGGAATTAGGTGACGTAAGGAGAGCTCCGCCCCCGGCTCCGGCGGGGTCTGAGGGGCGGGGTCTTGCGGAGCCCCGCCCAGCGCTCGGGAGCGCGTGCTCAGTTCCGATCTGCGGCTGCGGGCTAGGAGGCGGCCCTAGGAGCATGTTTAGTTAGACGCTGCTGAGCCGGCCTGGAGTCAGCCGGGCGGCGTGCTGCTGTCTTTCGATGGCGCCCATAGCCTATGCGTGTGGTCCTCGTGCGTAAGAATCGTCTGCGTGCACAGATGCCCTGCAACAGGATCACTTGGAGGTGCTTTTTAAAAGTACGGATCCCTGACCGTCCTCTGCTGATTCCTTCGGTCTTGGGCGGGACCAGGGAATCTGAATTTTTAACAAAGACCACCAGTGATTCTGATGCAGGGGTCTGCGGACCACGCTTTAAGAAATTGCTGGACTAATGTTTTACTAGTATAGGTTTTACTGATGACCTCAAACGTGTCAGACTGCAAGTCAGGCCCCTCTGGTGAATCGACCTTAGAATCATCATAAGTATATCCTGGCTTTACTACCTACTCGCTGTTACCTTGCATAATCTTACCCACATAAAAGGGTTGTAGGGAGATTAAATGACGTGCTATATCTAAAATACATATCACATAAACATATAAAATATTAGCCTTTCAACATGTGTTGGCAACAGATACAGCTAGAGGTACATTAGGATCCAGGGGGCTAAGGGAATGCCGCAGTCTGGAAAACGAGTAATGAGATCTGGGTGAGTTTTCACGCTTTCTGCGTTACTTGGAGGCTAAGGTATCCAT